ACAATAGTAAATAACCCAAGCAGGTGTAAATGTTCACCTGTCAATGTGATTGTGACTATGTGAGCACTATTTCAGTACCTAATATTACTGTCAGAACAAAGATTGGCTATGAAATTACAAGAACTATTATAAATTTTAATTATCAGAACATAAAAAATATATAAATTAAAATAAAAACAAGAAAAAAGGTATATTGGCAACACTTCTGCAAGCGGCAGGAGTCAATGTTGCTATCAGTTGAGCATCCAGAGCCAGCTTCACAGTCTTATATCTCGGTAAGTACTGACCCTAATTTTTTTTTTTATCCTGTAACATGTAGAAAAATGTGCTCTTCATTTTAAAAGAAAAAAAAAATTATTTTTCAAAGCATTTGGAGCGCCACGCAAGTGAACGTAGATCTACGTTTGGACAGTTTAAGGGTTAAAGTATTTGTAGTCTTAATGTAGGGTGAGAGATGAGTTTAATTTGTAGGAAGTCAGGTCTGGGAGGTATGGTAGACAGCCATGTCAGCCCACCCCACCCACACATAATATCCTACATTTAATTAAAGCTCCCCAGAGTGATAAAATACATAATACTGTACATTCATTAATTACCTTAAAATATTTGTTGTCTTAATGTAGGGTGAGAGGTGAGTTTTATTTGTAGGAAGTCAGGTTTTGAAAGTATGGTAGCCAGCCAGGGAAGCCCTCCCCACCCCACCCACACATAATGTAAACAAACCAGATGAACGCTTGTGGTTTTCGTCACTTTACATTGTGTACAAGTTGTATCCATGTTGATACAGTAGAATAAATAAAGAGAAACACTCCCATTCTCATGTAACACCATTTTTAGAAGAAATGATGCCCTGAGTGAAGGCATACTTAGGTACAGGTACACATACATATAATTATCATAATAATAATAATGTAGGTATGTAGTCTGCCTGGGCTACATACCTATACCTACCTACATAGCTACACGATATTTAATGTGGCCCAGAGCCATATTATTACCGTCGACATACCATGTTCACTGAGTTTAATCATTTCTAACTACCTTTAGATCCTATCATAAACAAAAGGAGAAGTAATGAATAATTCATGCCAAGAATTGTAAACGAAAGCGTTATGTATTAACCCTCTGACTGTTTTGGTTGCATATATACGTCTTACGAGCCACCGTATTTGATATATGTATACTCATAAATTCTAGCGGCTTCAAATCAAGCAGGAGAGAGCTGGTAGGCCCACATGTGAGAGAATGGGTCTGTGTGGTCAGTGTGCACCATATAAAAAAATCCTAAAGCACCCAGTGCATAATGAGAAAAAAAAATCCGACCTTTTTTTTATTTAACCCTTTCAGGGTCCGTCCCGTAGATCTACGGCTTTACGTTCAGGGTCCAAACCGTAGATCTACGCCATGAGCTCAGCTCACTCTGATAAACTGTGAGTGGTACATTTGGGCCTAGATATGAGAGAATACATCTATGTGGTATGTGTGCACCACATAAAACAGATCCTGCAGCACACTGTGTATAATGAGAAAAAAAATGAAATCATGATTTTTCGATTAAAACAGCAACTTTGCAGTGTTTTTTCGTATGTTTTTTATAGTTGTATTTGCGATTTCTTGGTCTCATTTGATAGAATGGAAGACATATTACAGAAATAGAGATGATTTTGATTGGTTTTAGCACTGGAAATGGCTTGAAACTGAGCTCAAAGTAGCAGAAATGTTAAATTTTTGCCGATATTCAAGAGTAAACAAACGACCTCATATGTCTAATACACGTCAGCTGGTGGGTCTAATATACATTCACAAATATGGTGATGATATTTATACAATTATTACAGTATTGCATAACAGTAAATCTTCTATTTTTTGGTGTGAATAAAAATTCATTATGTGAATAAAAAATAAAAATGGAATTTATTTGTAAAGCCTCAAAACATAACTAATGAACAGAGGAAATGTTAGTTTAGTGCCAGGAATGCCTACATTGTTCATTCTGGACCCTATTTTGAAATTGGAATATTTTGAACTTTGTGTTAAATTGGCCAAATTAACAATTTCCGATCACTTTATTTTGTAGTTGAAACAGTTGACTTGGCGATTTCTTGTGCTCAATCGATAGAATAGAAGTAATACTAATGAAATAGCTAAGAATTTGGTTGATTGGAATAATGTAATTGGCCTAAAATGGGAGTCAAAGTCGGCAAAATCGCCGATTCGTAAATATCGCTGACACATCAAAATTCGTGAGAGCATAATTTCGTCAATTTTCCACCAAATTTCGTACTTTTTGTTTTATTACCTTCACAAAAAGATTCTCTACGATTTCATAAGAAAAAATAACAAATTTTTTTTTTTTAAATTCTTGGACACTGGTGCGTGACTCCAGATTTGGGCCTTGGACCCTGAAAGGGTTAAAATGCTGACTTTGTGATCTATTTTCGTATAATATTTATGGTTGTATTCTCATTTTCTTGGTCTCTTATAGAATGGAAAACACATTACAGAAATAGAGGTGATTTTGATTGGTTTTACTACGAAAAGAACGTTGAAATGGAGCTCGAAGTAGGGGAAATGTTTGATTTTTGCCGATGTTCAAAAGTAAACAAATGATGTCATTTTCCAATAAATGTCCAAGTAGCCATTCTAATATGCAGTCATGAATGGGTTGACATTATTTATACAATTATAACAATATTGCAGTAGTCTGCATAACAGTATATCTTTGATTTTTTGTTTGAATAAAAATTCAAAATAGTAAGCAAGAGTAATATCAGAGGGGCGTGGAGACATGACTGATGAACAAAGAAAATGTTATTTTAGAGCCAGGAATGTCTGCATTGTTCATTCTGGACCCTACTTTGAAATTATCATATTTTTTAATTTTTGTGAAATTGGCCAAATTGCAAATTTCTGACCACGTTATTGGGTAGTTGAAATCGGTAAATGGGCAGTTTCTTGTACTTGATCAATAGAAAAAATGGAGTTCTAAAGAAATAGATATGAGTTTGGTCGACTGGAACAATGGAATTAGCCGAAAATAGGGTTTAAAGTGGGCAAAATTGCCAATTCGTAAATATCGCCGAGGTTGCTAACTTTGCGAGAGCATAATTCCGTCAGTTTTCCATCAAATTTCATTCTTTTGGTGTCATTACAATCTGGAAAAGATTCTCTATCATTTCATAAGAATTTTTTTAAATTTTGCGACATCAGGAGACATCTCAGGATTTATGGTTGCGACAGTCAAGTGGTTAAGGGGAATGAAGTAATGTTTTCCCTTCACCCAGCTACCATACCTCCATAGTATATAAACAGCATGTTTATATGCTATGTAATGTGTTTCTTACATAATTTTGAAGAAAATATCATAGATGGATTAATGAAAATGTCTATATTGATGTAAAATTAGACATTTAATGTGCCCAAGAGTGATTATTATTACATAATAGAGAGATGTCCTCATGGAGAATGTAAACAAACCGGGTGGTGTGTGCCATATTTGAAAGACCGCTTGCCGTATAGAAAATTTTGGTCATAATTTGAGATCACCGTATTAGCGGAACGCCATAAGGAGAAACGCCAAAAAACAAGGCCCTGCTGTACACACATTACTCATCTTAAATTATTTTTGTCCATAGCTTATAGTTAGTGGTGAGTATATTTATTGTAGGAAGTTTGAATAAATGAAGAATGGGTATAATTGAAAATTGCTGCATTAGTGAAACACTGTAAAGTGTGGCCCGCTTGTATGTACAGCCTTTCCTCACTTAGCAACATACTCATTTACCGATGACTCGGACTCTTGACGTGTTCTCTGACCACTATTCATACCTAAATAATGTATATTAGAGCTGATTTCCTCTATTCTGTTTATTACGTTATACAGTACACTACTGTATAAACATTTAAAAATATACCGGAAATGTTATAAATGGTGCAAAGGTGACATTAAAACAATACGTAAGATGGTTGACACAAACCCACTACCATTATAGTGTGCTCTTCACTTAGCGATGAATTCGTTTACTGACATGGTCTTAGGAACGAAACTCCATCATTAAGTGAGGACAAGCTGTATATACATAAAGGTGTATTTTTTCAGTGTTTATGTAGCCCCTGTTTTAGGGGTTTCATTGACTCATGTTAGTCAATAGGCCTAATAAACTGACCATTGCACATTAACATACATTACTTATCTTCTCCAGTAACATGCAATGCCAGTATGTACATAGTTTTTCTGGGCCCTTGCATAGGGTCAAAGACGCAATTAGAGTATTGCAAAGTCCATGATATCCACTTATATGACCTCATGTCCAGCACTTCATGCAAGCAAGTGCAACTATGGCCTTGCCATAGTTGCACTTGCTTGCTTAGTTTACATGAGTTTTAAAACAAATTGCCTATGCTTCTCCAATGAGAATCTTGAGCCAATCATCCTTGGATTATGACCTGAACTGGGATACTGTTTTATTGAAGAAGAAAGAAGCAGTATGCATTCAATAGTATTCCCAGATTTTTATAAATTTTGATTGATTTTTTTTATATAAATTGGCCATAAATTGAGGGCATATGTTAGGGCAAGTTGAGTTATGCCTGAGAAAATGTTTTGCAGTATATTTAAGACAGTGAGAATTGCCTTGATACTGGTGAAAGGCCCTTGGAATTCAAATTTACTGTGCTTAGATCAAGTCTGATTCCCTCCCATTCTCCAGGAACTGTATGACCCAGTGGGTTTAGTGCTTCCCCATACTATATACAATAATAATAATCTATATACATATTAAAATCCAGAAACAGAATTAGCAGATAACTTATGATTATGGTTGGTAAAGTGGTGAATAGTGAGGCCCCATTTTTTCCTCAATTTATAGAGAAAAACAAGTTTTTTTTGTTAGTCACTTTGTCTTCATGGGTGTAGCACAAGTTATTTACAGAAAATTAACAATAAAATTACTTGTTTATTTTAAGGTGATTAACTTTGTCTTGTATAATTTGTTTTGCAGCATTGAAGGAGAGTACGTTCCTCAGGAGGGAGATGAAGTGACGTACCGCTTGTGTCCCATCCCTCCTAAAAGAGAAAAATGCCAAGCCACGCATGTGCGTATTATTAACTTCACCCCTGAAGTGCATCATCGCTGGGACTGCAAACCTGAAGAGGAAAAGCATTAGGATCCATGCAACTCACTAACAACTGCCAATATCAGTATGGTTATGTATGTGATCTTTGCTTTAACTGTATTTTGCTGATGGTAAAGTGTAACTGATTTTAAATCATTTTGTTGCAATGTAGGCCGGCAAAAACACACACACCCTAAAGATTGAGTCGGAAGTCAATTGAGCCATGCCAGGAGTGCCAGAAAACCTGCCTGATCTGCTGGGTGCATACAAACATGCACACTCAGTATTTACTGCACACACATTAAGGCAATAGATATATCTGATATAATTATGAACCTACAATATTAATGACAGTTATAATGTTGAAGTTTGATGGTGGTCATTGTATAAAAATGTTTACATGTTACGTAGAAGTAATTTCATCAGTAATAATTACATTTCAATGCCACACTACCACTGTTGTTAGTATTATCTGTGACTCATTAATTATTCATTATTAATCCTAATACTCAACAATGATCTTGAATGGCTGTTCTTGTAAACACTTACCCCTGTTTTATTGCTTTTACTAAAGCTACATTATACATTGTTTTGTTACAACTATATTTGTATTTGTGTACAGTATATCTATGTATATGTAATGCCTTTTGACCAGTTGGTCAAACAAGGAGAAAATAAAATCTAGAGAATTCTCTCATGCATTGATAAATATATGGTATTTTATGAATTAACAGGGTACAGGAATTTTAAGTGTTTTTACATAAACTTACACAGTAACAATTTAAACTCAACTTTGGCAAAATGATTGTGGCTTTATAAGCCAGTATTGCAAGCTCTCTCTGATAACAGCGATTCCTTGATTTAACATATTGATAGGGGGAGTGAATGTTCTTTAAAAGTCAATAGTCCATTAAATTCTAAGGATGAAATTGATTTTCCACGATTGTAAAATTAACAGATAATTCTCAATTTGTTAAACCCAAAAGTCAGTTTACCCAGCAGATCACAACAGTAACAGATAATTCTGGATTTAACAGACTGTATTAAATCTGAAGTAAATCTGTCCAGTGGATCATAGCATTAACACAGTTCTGGGTTTAATGAACCTAGTCTGTGACTTATGGATGCCCAGCCACAGATTTTTAATGTTAAATCCAAAATGTGTTAAATCAGGGTCAGTAAACTCAAGGTTTTTACTAGACATACATTCATGTACACATATGTATATGCATATACATGCATGCAATAAGATCACAGTAAACAGGTGATATCACAATATGCAGAACAACCACTGTGAAAAAATAGTGAAATTCAAAGTGCTTTTGTGACATCTCACATTATCAGGGAACTATATGGAACTTCTCACATTATCAAGGAACATATAGTTCCTTGATAATGTGAGAAGTCACAAAAGCGCTTGGGATTTCACTATTTTTTCACAGTGGTTGTTCTGCATATACATGCATACTTACGTCAGGGTTGGCATAATTGTCTACGTTTTAAAAAGGTACATCTCACCTGGGTGCTAGATTTAAAAAGAAAAATGCATATAAGTAGGCAAAAATGAGGTTAATTTTTTTTTACAATAAAACAACCTGATAGAATATTACTGTCAGTCCACAGAACAAAAGACAGTTGTGTTTATTAACTAACTTGTGTTGTTTTTTTTTTTTTTTTTTTTTAGATACGAACAGACTTCTGGTGGAAAACTTATTTTGTCTATACAGTTGACAGTTATATTATACAGGTTTATTTTCCATGCTTAGGCTATTACGTTATTGAAAAATTGCGGCAAAATTTTATATAACGCTTAATAAAATTAACTTAATACAGTTTAGCTTGTTCAGTTTGTGGGTGGGGAAGAAATTAGGAGCGTCATCCACGGGCTACAGGGGTATTTACCAAGCTTCTGGAACAAATTTAACACTGCAGATGCCATCAGCTATGCTAGAAGTGCATGGAGTGAAGGGCCCCAATCAGCATTAAATGCAGGCTGAGGAAAGTTATGTCCTGTAGCTAATTCTTTCACTGGTTTCCCCTAGCTTGAGAGTTGAGTACAGGAAATTGTTCAGCTGGCAAGGAGAATACCAGGTGATAGCTTTGAAGATATGATGGAAAAAGATGTAAATGAGCTCTTAGAAGATGATAATGATGAAGACAGGAGTCCAGAGGAAATGTTGGCAGAGCTCAATGTACAGATACAAGGGAACCAGATAAAAGATGATGAAGAGCCTCCAGAAAAACAGTTAACATTGCAGCAGTTAATTGAGCAGTTTCATGTTGCTGCTAAACTAGTGGACTTTTTCTCTGAAGAGGACCCTGACAAATCTAGAAGCAGTACTTTGAAATGGGGTCTAGACCAGCTGATGATGCCTCATTGTCAGCTGCATATTGTAGTGCAGAGTAAAAGAGCCCAGAGATCCATTACTGGTCTGTCACCCCCTTTTTTTTTGATCTCTGCCGTGATGGTGTGTGTGTGTGTGTGTGTGCAGGCCCTAAATTTGCCTGCTGGGACAGCTGGCCTCTTGGTTGCTTCTTGCCCATTATCTGCTGAGAAGTCCTTCCTCATAAGTCAGTTCTTGTGACTATTATTACCAGAGGTTATGCAGCCCTAAAGCCACCCCACTGGTTATGCATTCTCCACTGCACTGTGGAACCTTCTAAGGTCTTCACAACATACAACTCAACTTTAGATGATGGTATATGTAGTTCTTTGTTGAGTATCTTGTATGTTTGTAGGGACATTGCTCTTCTCCAGGTGATTATCACTGCTCTAAGGACAACTTCTTGAGGGTCAATGGGCTATACGTTGATGATAGCTGGCGGCGACTCAGCATTGTCTTGTGATGTATTATAGAGATGAAGCTGCTGGGTCACTCAACTCCTGATCTGACCAGTATCATAGTACTCGGCCTTCCATTGATACTTATCTGCCATGGACGCGATGTTAGAGTCGCTCGCAATCTTCACATTGAGCATGAAAGCCTTCCTGTTTTCCAAATCACATATCAGTAAGTCAGGCTTTCGTGTACCAAGCACTGTTGGTATCTGCAGCTCCTTAGCCACAGCATGCTTCTTTACCACACAATCTGCGGCGATGCATCCACCACGTTATGTCGTCGGACCCGTTGCCCATGGAGTCTTGGACACGCCTGCAGGTGTCCCAGGGACTCATGTTGATCACAACCTTCACAGGTTGTATTTATTGATCTTCGTCCTCTTGCACGCCTTGTTTTAGTTGGCATTAAATTATGTTTGATCTTCAAGGCATCAATATATATGGCCTCCTTCATGAGGCTCGTTCCATTCGCCATCCATCTATGGACCTGCGGGACGAAATGATGTTCCTTCAGTCCCGCGCCATCTACCGAACCCACTAAGACATTGGTCCATTCCTTAAGCTCCTGCTGTCTAATCGTTACAACAACATTCCTCACTTTACTTTGTCCAACAAACCTTAATGCCTTAAGGGTGTTCGGGTGTAAGGCCAGGTACCTTATTACGTGATCTTCTGAATTGTGGAATGCATCAAGCCTGTTCCTCCACAATATTGGAACCCTTGTTGACAGACAAATATACCCTAGATGCCCCGCAGCTGCTGGTGCATAATATACACCAATTGCTGTATCTTTTGGTAACTTCAGCCATTTCTTAAACATTTGCCTGATCAATTTGTCCGACGTCCTCAAGGTAGTCTGACAGACGCCACCCAGCACCATGATATGTATGATGCCAGGAATCAGGTGCTTATTTAACGTATATAACCATTGTTGTGGTTTTAGGGGAGCTTCGTCAAGCGTCGCAAGTTTCTCACGAAGCTTTTGGATGTCAGGCTTTTCCCTTCCAGCTGAAGAAAAGTGCATTCCCAAGTACTTACATACTGCTGTTGGTTGAAGGGAATGCACTCGGGCTTCGTAAATTTCCATTTTGTGCGTCATACATACGTACCATTTCTTCATTCTTGGTACCATTTGAAGTTTTAAAGTGGCACACTTCTGTGTGTTTATTTCTAACCCTGATGCTTCCAACAGCCTCAAAAACAGCTGCAACTGTGCATGAAGACCTTGTTCGGACTCAGCAACCAACACCACATCATCAGCAAAAGCCAAGGCAAACACCTTTGACTCAGCATCAGCTATTGGCCATCCAATCTGCTCGTTTAAAGCCAACAGCGCTTCATTCATTGCTATATTAAAGAGAATGCATGAGAGGGGGTCCCCTTGCTTCACCCCTCTACACACACTCCCTTCTTTTCCCATAACCTCAGTAGATGCATCAGCATAAGTTGACATAATACAGTGGACCCCCTGCCTTACAATATAATTTCATTCCAGAAGTATGTTCAGGTGCCGTTACCGAACGAATTTGTTCCCATAAGGAATGTTGTGAATTAGATTAGTCCGTTTCAGATCCCCAAAAATACACATACAAAAGCACTTACATAAATACACTTACATAATTGGTCGCATTGGAAGCTGATCGTAAGGCGGGGGTCCACTGTATAATTAATCACCAAAAGAGGTACATTGTGTATTTGGAATGCCCTTCTAACCGAAGAATGGTTTACGGAGTCATGGGCTTTCTTCACATTTAAAAATATAGTATACAGCAGTTTTATCTTGGTTTTGCTCTCACTAATTTTTGCATCCAACAACAACACATTCTGGGCCAGGCCATCCGTGGGTAGAAACGCTCTTTGTGCCATGTGGAGGGGAACCCAGTTGACCCACCTCGCTGCCAGTATTTTATGAAACGCTCTCACAATAATACTAGATATAGTGATGGGTCTGTATTGACCTGGTTGGTCAGGATGATCCACCTTAGGCAGAAAAACAGTTCTGGCCTTTCTAAAAACCTTCGGCAAATATCCAATATATATCCAGATGTTAAACAAATCGACCCAGAAGTGTTCAGAAACATTTTCAGATCTTTAAGCATCCATCCATCAGGACCTGGTGCAAAAGTGCCATTGGACGCAGCTACCGCTCTCTTAAACTCATCCACCTTGACAGGTAACTGTAGCTGCCATAATTGATTTTCAACAAGTATCTGCCTTGGTCTTACATCCTCCTCAGATGATCTAGCGAACAAATTCAACCAAAACTCCTGTAGTTGCTTTTTAGATACAGCTTGCTGTTCAGGGGCACCCAAGTGCCGCCAACTTCCTTCCAGGACCATCTTTGCACACTTGGACCTATCCTTGTTATACAGCTTCTGCAGATCTCTATAAACTTGTCTCCTTCTAGCTCTTTTTCCTCCCCTGTTGTTATACTGGGGGCATTCCTTCCTTGATTTCCTTCTCTTTCATTTTTAGTACGTAATCATAATTTCTGCCATTTCGTCCAATACATTCTGGACAGAGGCAACACATTCATTGTTAAAACCAAACTCCCCATACCCATCCCTCATTTTCTCCACACAAAGAGTAACAAAGTGTAACATGTTCTGTAGTTTCTGAGATGTGTTCGCGTATGCACACGTGTTCAATGTATCAAGTAGGTGCTGTGTTAGTGCATGTACTGTTGGAACACACAAATTGTGGGAGATCTCAATTCCGAAGTGTCCCTCCCTTCCCCCAATTCCGTCGTTCTCAGCCTTCTAGTGAGGAACATCTTGAATCCTTTGAACACCTCCACCAACAACAACCTCAGACATTAATCTGTCTACTAGAGCTCTATAGGACGCGACCTTCCGGTGACCCTTTATTGCCTCCACCAATCTCTTGGTGTGGGCTTCCGCCAACAACAGGTTCATCCCCGCAGGGACACCTTGACCGAATTTCCTGGCCTCTCTCAAGATCTTCACCTCAGCCATAGCCAACACATACTCTTCCTCCTTAGACCATCTGGTCCTCACATGGGCAACTGCCCCCTCCACATCCCTATGATATTCATTGGGATGCTTACTCCTCTTATGGATGGACAACCTATTCCTGGTTCTACAAACCATACAATACTTAAGACATCGAAATGGAGCTCCATTGCCAACAGCTACCATCACTAGATAAGGACCACTCAACAGAAGTAGGGTTTTGCCGTGCACAGAACTTGAGTGAGACTTGCTCACTTGTATGACAACCCGTAAAAGCTAAATTCACATAAAAAGGCTTTGCATGTGGCAGAATGTGCAGTTTTAGCCTCAGGCTGACTGATCACCTGCGTTACCAACTCTCACCTGGAATATATCCGGAAGTACTGCACGAGGATCTTAACCCCTTGACTGTCGCAACCCCAAATCTTGAGGTGTCTCCTGGTGTCGAAAAATTTCCAAAAATAATTTTTTTTTCTTATGAAATGATAGAGAATCTTTTCCCGATTGTATTGACACCAAAAGAACGAAATTTGATGGAAAACTGACTGAATTACGCTCTCGTGAAGTTAGCGACCTCGGCGATATTGACGAATTGGCGATTTTGCCCACTTTGAGCCCTATTTTTGGCTAAATCCATTGTTCCAGTCGATCAAACTCATAGCTATTTCTTTAGGACTCCATTTGTTCTATCAATTGAGTACAGGAAACTGCCCATTTTCCAATTTCAACTACCCAATAACGTGGTCAGAAATTTGCAATTTGGCCAATTTCACGAAAATTAAAAAATATGACCATTTCAAAATAGGGTCCAGAATGAACAATGCAGACATTCCTGGCTCTAAAATAACATTTTCTTTGTTCACCAGTCACGTCTCCACGCCCCTCTGATATTACTCTTGCTTTCTATTTTGAATTGTTTATTCAAACAAAAAATTGAAGATTTACTGTTATGCAGACTAATGCAATATTGTAATAATTGTATAAATAATGTCAACCCATTCATGACTGCATATTAGAATGGCTAGTTGGACATTTATTGGACAATGACATCATTTGTTTACTTTTGAACATCGGCAAAAATCAAACATTTCCCCTACTTTGAGCTCCATTTCAAGGTTCTTTTCATAGTAAAACCAATCAAAATCACCTCTATTTCTATAATATGTTCTCCATTCTATCAAATGAGACCAAGAATACAACCATAAATACTACACGAAAATTGACCACAAAGTCGGCATTTTAAATAAAAAAAAAGGTTGGAGTTTTTTTTTTCTCATTATGCACTGTGTGCTGCAGGATTTTTTTTTTATATGGTTGATTGGGGAGTTTCTTGTGCTCAAACAATGGAAGTAACACTAGCGAAATATCTAAGAATTGGGTCGACTGGAATTGACCTAAAATAGGAGTCAAAGTGGGCAGTATCACCGATTCGTAAATATTGCTGATGTAGTGAAATTTGCGAAGGTGTAAATTTTGCCATTTTCCAACAAATTTTGTACTTTTTGTTTTATTACCTTCAGTAAAAGATTCTCTACCATTTCATAAGAAAAAATAATTTTTTTTTTAAAATTCTTGGACCCTGTAGACTTGGATCCTCAAAGGGTTAAGAAACCTGCTTAACTGAGTAATTTTTTTTAAAGCCAATTATGGAAAAATGTGTTGCTCATTATTGTGCCAATCCTAATGTAAATATTCACATACACATATTCATACATCTATACACATATATGCATATACTCATGTATGTACAAGAGGGCCCTGTTTCTATGGCTGTTATGTTCCCGACGATAAGTGAAATTCACCGACAATTGTAATTTTTTTTTATGTTGAATGCATCTTGAAACACCTGATATGTTTACATTATCATATATTAAGTGCTCAGTACAGCTAGCCATAAAAAAAAAAGGTACAAAAGTAAAATATACACACAGTACATACAGTATTAGAATATACAAAGAGTCACAGAAAAATTTATACTGGCAAGGAAAGAGTTCAAGAACAGGGACCCCAGTGTTTACGTTGATGTGTAATGAGATGGTCAAGAATAGAAGGGCATGGATATGAAGACAACTGATACAAGGCTGACACATGGAAAAAATAAGCACAATTGGCCGAGAGAAACTTTGAAATTTTATTTGTGAAGCAAGCTGCTGCTTCAGTCAGTGAACACTGATGGACAGCAAGCTTGTTTATACAAATCATAGTCAGCTGAGTTTCTGGGTAACAGAGGTCATAATATGGGTGAAGAGCAAGAAAGGGGTGCTGAAGGCATCTACATTGGTGTTATTGCAACTTGATCTGTAGCCTGCAGGATGTCTCGCCTCCATGCATTTCAGGTCACAGCCACTGCACAGTATGATATAAACACCTGCATTATTGTGGTTCAGGCATTTGTCTTTAAACTGGGTTAAATCTTTTATGGTCCTAGATTTGATAGTAACAGCACTTATCTTGTTCTTGGAGAGGATGGGTGTGATGTGTCCTGTTGAAACCAGAGAACAACATAGAAGAGTCTTTCTTCCTGTTGCTCTCCAAGAGCAATACATAGGTGTTGTTGCCATCACATTTAGCACCATCAAAGACTTAACTAGGCTGAAAGCCAACTGCTTGGACCACAGTAACATAGGTGTCTGCATTATACCATACAGTGACTGAGAGCAGAAGCGTACAGATCAGATTGCAAAAACATCAGCGTGCATCAAGAACTCACAATACAAATAATGCTTGTTACACATGAGGACACGCCTACACAGTTGCTGTCCTAGAAAGATTTCCCTCTGATCTTCGTGGAAAGAAATAAAACACTTTTCAGATGCCTAAAAGCTGCTCTTATATGGACACAAACTTTTTTTTTTTTTTTTTTTTCAACAAGTCGGCAGTCTCCCACCGAGGCAGGGTGACCCAAACAGAAAGAAAATCCCCAAAAAGAAAATGCTTTCATCATCATTCAACACTTTCACCTCACTCACACATAATCACTGTTTTTGCAGAGGTGCTCAGAACACAACAGTTTAGAAGCATATACTGTACGTATAAAGATACACAACATATCCCTCCAAACTGCTAATATCCCAAAACCCCTCCTTTAGACACAAACTATGATCCAATAAAATTAAGGAGCTTTCAGTTTAGTGAAACCTTCAGCCCAACTTCTTTAGCATAAACAGGTCTTCGATTGGACCTGTCATCCTGCAGTGCCCTTATCTCTTGCTCTGCCCACACTGTGACTTCATTGATCCAGCCACTTGCTTGATTACACTTTTATAAATATGCTTGTTGTGGATCCCTGTGTACTGACTGAAGAAACATGTTCCATAAAAAAAATGTCTCAAAGTGCCTCTCTGCAAATTGTGGACGTGGAAATCGTATGAAAATAGAGGATAGTAAAAAAATTGAGCACTGAATAACCCTTTTGGGTTTAGCACATCTTGTTTATAATACAGTAAATGTCCAATAAAAACAGATTATTGGGGAAGGGGTGTCCAGTTTAGCAAAAAATTAAGTGGATGTAGTCTGCTTAATTGATCGACTGCCACACATGAACAAACGCCACTAAATAACTTAGTCCTCTGTATTTTGGAATACTGAACACAATAAGAATAAACCAGATTACAGTATAGTATTAGTTGTACCTGAAAAGAAAATGAGTTAAAAATACAGCATTACATTACAGTAAAGTAATTTTTGTATTTTCTGGTGGATAGATGAGTATAGTATTGCCATGTGGTCTAGTGGTGTCCTGAATAACTTACTGTGAGTCAGAGGGCAGCACTGTATGATTCTTGTTGATTTAGCACTTTCTTTGATTATTACAATATTATTTTTTTTATTAACACATTGCCCATTTCCTACCAAGGCAGGGTGGCCAGAAAAAGAAAAACTTTAATCATCATTCACTCCATCACTGTCTTGCCAGAAGCATGCCTACACTAGTTATAAAACTGCAATGTTAACACTCCTTCAGAGTGCAGATACTGTACTTCCCATCTCCAGGACTCGATGATGATAATAATTTGAGTCAGGAGCTTTAAAGCTCCAGCAGTAACATGACAGGCAATGTGGGAGGCATACAGGTAGATTGTGTGGGAGATGGTTCCTCAGATGTAGATGGCTGAAAAGATGTAGATAGCTCAGGCCATTTTCATGTGGTTCCTGGGAATAACTTCGTAATTTTTCCCTGCCTCTCAATGTCAGAAACTGTTTTACTACTCCATATTCCACTGAAATGCCAGCCTCCAGCTTCCTTATTAATTCAAATTTCTGCTTAACTCACTTTTTGGCACCATCACTTGCCTTACAGGCCATTGTTAATAACATTGTACACAGTACATTAATAAAATTATTAAAAACACTGTAAATCCAGAAAAAATTAGAGATGAAATGGTGTGGGCATGCATGCGGATCACAAACTGACATGGGCAGTCACTAGTCCCACTGCCCAGAAACAACGAAAATAGATGTGCCTAGGACGAACTTCTGACTGTACAAACTTTTGATTAAGCAGAGTCAGTTAATTTTATTAAATGTACAACCAGACTTTATAGCTGCTCGATTAAGCAGATTTGGTCCACTTCATGACTTTTTAACAAGACACTCCATTAAATGAATATGTTGAGCCTTTGTCTGGACTAATGTTTCTTGTCCCTTTTAGCTGATATTTGATTTGTGGAAGTTTGTTTTATCGAACGTTTACTGTAATAATGTTGTTAATAATAATAACAATACTAGAAAACTGAAAACTAAAAGTAAGATGATGATGCAAAAATCACAGAAGCATAGGCTGAAGCTGAGTTGAAGCAGATAAATATGCTCATAAGACAAAGGATTTCAGTAAGAGATCAGGTTATAAGACACAATAAGGAGGGGGTGAAATGACATTGGAAAACAGGGAGGTATGTGAACCTTAAACATAATGTTCAGACAGGTCATCTTTAATGAACTGAAGAAAATACTAAGGTAAGGAATTAGTTTGAAAATTGTTGAAATTCATGAATTAAGATACTGTACTGCAAATTTATAGGAATCAAACTGTATACATACAACTATACATAATGTACACAAATACACACACCACCCATACACTAATATATACACATTATTATTACAATAATTTTTCTATGTTAAGGGAAATATTTTTATAATATTTTGTTTTAGATTTCTTTGCTATTTTTATAGTAAATAAATTATTTTGTCCAAGTATTAAATGAAGTTTGCAGTAAGATAATGTGTGATTTATGAAGAATAAATTTGCTGCTTGTTTGGCAAGAAATATTCTTTAGGTATCTGCCAACATACACCTGTGCCAATCATTAATGTAGTGGTTTTAGAACTAAAGAGAATTGTTATCTTAGTGTAAAATATGATCATTTATTTGATTAATTGTCTTTCATTAGAGAAAATACTCTTAATATTAATGCAGCTGTTGTGTGTTCAAAATAATGGTTAATTAATCCAGTTTTTTTTATTCATACTGTTGCCTACTACTTGCAAATTATTGGTTCTGTTTTATAATTTTTCATTAATATTTTCTAGTTTGCAACACATGTAGAATTTTTGTACTGTATATAACTAGCTGCACTAACACAGTTGTGCTAGTTGCTGTTGATGCAAACTACTTGAGCTTATCATAGTTACCTTAGTAATACAACTACAACATGTTATGAGATTAGTGATTAATAAAATTTTACAATAATACAAGGTATGTTTGTAACTTGTAAAAGCATTTTCCACAAGGCCAGCATTGATGCTATATTTTGTATCCTACACAACAGGAAAGATATAATTAATTTTTGACAAAAGTAATGTATGTTCATTTCTACCTTGTTCTTTTCATTGTTTTTCAGCAGTATGCTCTGTTAAAGAATTCATGCAGCCCTTTGATTTTCCTAAGATATTATTTAAATATTTTGTGGCCATTTTCTTTTAAATCTTATCTGCATGTGATCTGTGTTTTTAGGTATTTTTAGATGCTGTAGCTTAAATGTTATAATATGGCCACTGATAAGTCTTTAACCCAATTTTTTCTCTTAATTGTTGTGGTGTGATGTATATACTGTATGCTAAGAGAAATATTTTCTTCAGTGGAACTTGGAGGGAGTTTACCTGGAATATGCTGCACTTCATTCACATGTATGCTTACCTCTCCAGGCTCCAGCAGGGTCCATTTGTGTGCTTTCTTCTTGGTAACATTCCTTCATCTATGGTTGCCATGTATTATTTAGTTATGATTGACATCACCTGTGTCTCCCAGATTGCATTGGAATCCAGTTGTTGCTGTCTCACCATTGCATCTATAATTGCATTCCTGTCTTCATAGAAACTTCATTTATGAGGGGCACCCATGCCTATGTGAATTTGCACATGCATTTGACCTCGTTCAAAATAAAAATTGACTCCATGGCTTGGTCCTCCCTGGTTTAGTCCAGGTAGGATGCCATACTTGACCTCTACAAAGCCTTCTAATATGTTCAGATTCATCAAGAGTTCTGTAGGCTCTTCCCTTTTTTTATTTTTTATCTTAATGGATTACATTTTTTGGCTCTGCATTTTGGCCTCAAGATGGCACTCTGAATCTTCACACACATCTTTTGTAGTGTGAGCACTTGAGGTAGATAAGAAGACACACCATAACACACTGGTGATAGGCTCATTATTTACCTTTACATCTGTTGTTCTCTGGACAGTGTTGTTGGCATTTCAGAAATGGGGGCTTCTTCAGTATCCATGATTAATCTTTTCTTCTTAGATGTGCTTCTTACCTCCTCCTTCACAGCTCCACTAGGATAAAATCTTTTCTCTTTTTTCTTTTACAAGTGTGTATGAGAGCCTATGACCAGTTATGCTCTCCATTTTTGTTCTCCTGGCATCACCTGTGGTGGGATGGCCTCATGAATGTTGATTTCCTTGCATCAACATGGCTC